CGCTGGTTTCTCCGTATCCTGTCTCACTGCTTCTTCTGGATCTGTTGTATCACCTTCATTCAGTTACAGCAGATCTTATGAGTCTAGACATTGAACTGTTTCTTCAAGCTTCCAGCTTCCCAGAACAAAAGTTTTCAAACTATCAACTGAAGGTCCTTTGGATTTCACTGGTGTCTGTTATCATATCCCTTTTCATGTCTAATTTTATTAATTTGGGTTATCATGTTCTCTCTTGCTCTTCTTTTCCTCCTCCACCTCTTTCTCCTTCTCTCTGCTCCCTTCCTATGCACCTTGGCTAAGAGTTTCTCTGTATTCTTGAGAATGTTTATCTTTTCAGACAGCTAACTTTGTTTTACTGATTCCTTTAGTATAATGTTGCTTTAGTGACTCATTAATTTTTTTTTCTCCTGATCTTCATTATTTCTTTCCATCTACTCATTTTGGGTTTGGATTGCTTTTGCTTTTCTGAGACCTTGATATATATCAGTAAGTTACTTATTTGAGATGTCTGTGGTTCTTTTAATGTAGGTACAATCGCAGTAAACATCCCTGCCCCCAGAACTACCTGGTAGGTTGTGTTTTTACTTTCATTTGATTCTAAGCAATTTCCGTTTTCTTCAGTGACTTAATGATCATTCAATCAATTGACCAATGATTATTGGTCAGTCTCCAAGTGTTTGCATATTTTTCTTTTTACCCGTTTAGATGTGTTTTCAATTTATTCTTTGAAAATTTCATGCATGTATACAAGGCATCTTGATCATATCGACTTCCCACCCCATTCCTCCAAATCCTTCAGCTTATGTTTCAATATTTTCTTTTTTTTTCTTTCTGTGGTTTTCTATTGATTTCTAATTTTAGTCCATTATGATAGAAGATACAAGAAAAATTTCAGTTTTTAAATATTTGTAAGGTTTCTTTTATGGCTTAAAATTGATCTATTTTGGAGATAGTGCCATGAACTGTTGAGAAGAAAGTATCTTCACAGCTGCGCGCTCTACAGATGTCTGTTAAATCTGTTCCCTGTGTTCCAGCTTAACTTTGAAGCTTCTCTGTCTTGATAACTTGTTTACTGGTGAGAGTTGGTGTATATTGAGATCACCGTTGTTTTATCTGGACCTGGAGCATGTGGTTTAGGAAATTGGATGTAACGATGTGTGGAACATATATATTTACAACCCTTGTATCCTCTTGCTGGATTATTCCTTTGGTTGTAGACGGCTCTTCTTTATCCCTCTAATTCTGGCTTGAAGTCTGTTTTATCACCCACCAATCCACCTGTTCCTGCTTGTTCACAGCTTCTTCACGCTGGGGAAATCCCTTTCCAGCCTTTCCATTTCAGTGTGTGTCTTTGCCAGTGAGGTTGGATTTTGTTTGTCATCTCATACGCTAGTCTGCAGTTTTTAGTTGGAAAGCTAACAACCTCTTACTTAGGTTCAGGGTCAATATTGACAGTTATTTGCTACTGTAATTTTCTTGGATTTTTTCTTGGTTTATTTGTACACTTTTTGTTCTTTTCTCTCATTTATTTTAGGGATTTGCCAAATACTGAGTTAAATATGCTTGATTCTTTGCTTATTCTTCTATTCCTGTTGTAAAGTATTCTGTAATGCTAGTTTAGTAGTCATGAATTGCTTTAGTTTGTGCTCATCTTGAAAACATTTCCTTTATCTTAAAGGAAAACTTTGGTCTGTATGGTAATCTTAACAAGCAGCTGTTCACTCTTCTCTGTGTTTTCCTGGCGTTTGGGCTTTCTGCAGAGAGGTCTGATGTTGCGTGGATGAGTCTGTCTTACTGTACGCTACTTGAAGTTTTCTTCTGTGGCTTTCTGTGTTGTTCTTTGTTGGCATTTTTCGTATAATGTGCCTTGGATGCATGCTTTTCTGGTCATGTCTATTTAGAATTCTCAATGCCTCTTGTACTTAAATGTCTGTTATTCCTCCTTGATTTGGAGACCACTTTTTTTTTTTTCACTGTAATTTCAGTGACTATGTTTTCTGTGCCTGTAGTTTGTATTCCAGCCCCTTCTACCTGTGGATTCTCAGGTTTGGTTTCTCGGTCATGTCCTACAGCTTGGAAACATTGTGGCCAGTGGAGTCTACATCCTGATTATCAGAAAAGAAATTCCTGATCATCAGGCAAGGGACACAGGCTCTGGTGATCCTGTGTGGCCAGCCCTCAGTAGTCTGACCTGGAAGCCCTGCTCCTCTTCAGCACGGCTGGTGTCTGTTTGCCCCAGAGTCTGGCTGCAGTTTCCCTCTTTGCTGGGGCTTGTGTTTTACACTTAAGTATCTCCTATACATATGTGAGGTGAGGTTACAACCCGTTCCTTTGGGAGGTAGAATGTGGAGGGCTTTTTGTTTGGTTGGTTTGGGGTTTTTTTGATTGTTTGTTTGTTTACTTGCTTTTTTTTTCAGACACAGTTTCTTCTGCTCTCCTTGGCTGAAAGGTTCATTGATCCAGGGCAGCAAATGTCTGTAGGGTCACAGAAATTGAGGTGTGCAAGGGCTCCAGACTCCCAAGTGTACAATTTCAGACAGTAGGTCCCATTCTAAGGTGACTCCTGACATTTTCTAGGTTTACCATTGTTCTGTTTGTTACCATTGCTCAGTATTGGCTCTTTCTCTCGGGGTTCACAGTCTTTCCTACTGAAGTATATTTTCTCTTAGTAAGGACTTCGGAGTTGCAAACCTTTTCATTCCTGAAAATCTTTCGTCTTGACTCTGCCGTGTTCCTTTTCTTGGCTCTCATTTAGGTTCTTTCTGGACAGCGCTTTCATTTGGAACTTGAGCACATTACATCCCATTACCTGCGCTGCATTTCTTCTCTGTAGTTTAATGACTTACTAATTGGCCTCAGTATACTTGGAGGAACAGTTTTCTTACTACCTGTTTTGTAGAAATATTTCAAACTTCTGTAGAGTTGTAAATCTAAAATGCTACAATGAATACTAAACTAAATAGTTTACCAACTCACCTATTGTAAATATTAACATGCTTGATTTTTATTAATATTTATATTAACATGCAGTCATGGGATCCCATGTTCTTTCTCCGTCCCATGCAGACACACAGATTAACTTTCTGAGGGGAAGTTACATATATCATACCCATTGACCCTAAATACATCAGTATTGTGATTTACATGTATACAGTAATTTCTTTTATTCCACTGTCCCTAGTGGGTTTTTTCCCTGTTGACATAATGTCTTTTACAGTAATTTCCTCCTGAAACACAGGATCCAATCTGCAGGAAGTCTGCTGCTGACCTGTGTGGGTCTCTAGTCTTTTACACAGAACATTTTAACCTAGTACTATGTTATGGTTTGGATTTTTTTGAGAGAGAATCTTACCATGTAACCCAGGCTGGCTTCTATCTAGGCTCCTACTACTTCCACCTTCCCATCTCTGAGATTACAGGACTCCACCACTAGGTTCTGGTTAGAGTATCCATAGCGTTGCATTTAACAGTGATCTCCGATGCGTCATTGTTACTAAAGCAAGTTTAGCCACTGTGGGTACAACATTGAGTAGGTGAAAACATTCCCTTCTTAGATCATTCTGGGGGCTTGTGATGTCTGTGTGGCCAGCTGTTCCTCCTAGTGTGGCCATGCTGAATAAATCGGTTTTCTCTGCTTTTCACCCTTAACTCCTTAATCGACATATTGAGGAAAGTCGCCAAGCCAAGCCAGTCGCTTGCCCTGAAAACTGTGGGTACATTGCACGTGGTATATTCCCACTCAGAGTACATGAATGTTGATAGCTGTTCATCCCCTGAACCATTGTCAATTAGATTTCCCAGTTTTAGGCATTCTAACCGAGAGGTAATACCACTTCATTGTGGCTTTAGGTTGCATTTTCTTCATAGAAAATGATACTGGAGCCTCATGCTTGGTGCTTATTTGTCTCTGCCTTCTTTGGTGAATCACCTGTTCAAATATTTCCTCTACTTTTTACTGAACTGTTTGGTTTCTTTGAATTTTGTGTGTGTGTGTATATATATAGATGTGTGTGTGTGTGTGTGTGTGTGTGTGTGTGTGTGTGTATAGATAGATATATAGATATCATGTATGTGTGTTGTTATAGTGATTGATATAAATCAGATAAGTTATTTCCCTCAAAATGGCTTTTTATTCACTTTGTTACTTTCAAAGACTGGAGTTCTTAATTTCACTAAGATCCAAGACACTTCATTTCTTAACATTGCCCTGGGGAAATAATCAATTTATGTTTGAAGTTATTTATTCTAGGATATTCACTCAGGGAAAAGCTGGAAGTACAGAAAAACTGGGACAGCAGAATCTACTTAAATAAATTATGCTAATCTATGAAATGATTCCATTTTAAAGGATTTGGTACCAAAGTCTCTTGCTTTAGGTTTTTATCATAGTGAGGCAGGAAAAGCTCATGGAAGTCAGGTTGTACACTGAGATGTTGACAATGATAATTCCTGAGAAGTGAGATTATAGCTACCTTATATTCCCCTTTTCTATGGGATTTTATGTTTTGTTCAGAAGACTTTTTTGTCTAGAAGGTAGGCAGATAACTACTTATTTGGGGAAAAAGAGTGTTCTAATTTCACTTCTTCGTAACCTCGATGATGCATGTTCAGAGACCATGGGAACAGCTGCCAGTTTCCCTGAGTGGGTGTCCCAGGGCACACACTGTATCTGTACTGTTTGCTCTTAGCTACCTTGGTATTTACGTCCCAGCACTGATTTCTGGAAGCTCCTCTGTTACAAGTTCTGCCTTTTGGTCCCTCAAGTGACTGTGTGCTGTAGGCAAATGTGTAAGGATGTATCACCCGTCATCAGGAAAACCAAGGAAGGATCAGCACGCTAGACATCCTACTAATGGATAGGGAGCCTGTTTCCTGGCTTGTGTTATGCTCGTGAACACTGAACTTAGCCTGGTTTTTAAGTCTTGTCAGTGCTACCAAGATGTCGCCTGGCATGTCTAAGCCCTGTGTTTGACTGTTGGTTTTGTTGTTGCTACATAAAGGAGCTATCAAAAAACCTGGAGCTGAGCACTAACAGTTTCCAGCGGCAGCTGCTTGCTGAACGGAAAAGGGCATTTGAGGCCTATGATGAAAACAAAGTTCTTCAAAAGGAGCTACAGCGGCTCTATCACAAGTTAAAGGTGAGCATGTTCGTTTAGACCACATTATTTCTCCTCTCATACAAATTACATGAAAACTTCGAAAAAACTGGCCACTATTCATATTTGTTACTATGTAATTCACAAAATTCTAGTACTGTATCTGTCTCTTAGAAAAGCATTGCTACTATAATTGCTGTAACAAAGTAAAGTACCGTATATGCCAATCGCAACAATATAAATGAAATAAATTTTACAAAATTCTGGAAGAGAACCATGGGAATGAGCATGTGCCTCACACTCCTCAGTGATCCAATATTCTTCACATGACCCCAGGACTGCCTGCTTTTAAAGTTGAAGCCCCCTTCATTTTGTTTAGAGGAAACCAATTCACATTAGTTGATTGTATTAAGCATGTTTTCATTTTATGGAGGTCATTGATGGGTTGGAATTTTGTTCAGAATTCAACAAAATTATGCATAACCTTATATAGTTTTCTCTTTGATGTTCAAGTTCTCAGAAAAAGGCATTATTCCCATACTGTGAAGATCTCTTGGGTTGAAAAACATGCTCTTGATTTTTAAGTCATTAATAGCCCAAACACATGCTTAAGAGAGACTCTACTTTTGTCTCTGTGGCTAAGCCTGGATCAGAGAGCCATTACTAGCCCTGTGGGGGGAGGAGTGGAGCTTGTGGTATTTTCTTCCCTCCCCCTTCTCCCATTCCCTTCCCCTTCTCTCTGCCCCCCTCCCTCTTCCCTTCCTCTTCTCCGCCCCCCCTCTTCCCCATCTTCCTCCTCCTTCTCTTTCCCCTCCTAGGAGATTTTTCTTCCTCTAGTTTGGTAGTTACAATGGAGAGCTGACCTAGAAATATTCCAATTTAATAAAGAAGATATTGGTTATCATACTGAGAGTGTTTAATTTCTTTTTTTTTTTTTTTTTTTTTTTTTTTGCTTTTTCGAGACAGGGTTTCTCTGTGTAGCTTTGCGCCTTTCCTGGAACTCGCTTTGGAGACCAGGCTGGCCTCGAACTCACAGAGATCCGCCTGGCTCTGCCTCCCGAGTGCTGGGATTAAAGGCGTGCACCACCACCGCCCGGCGAGAGTGTTTAATTTCAAACTGATTATCTGCCTTTTTTGTATTGGGTTTGATTTCAGGAAAAGGAGAGAGAATTGGATATAAAAAACATATACGCTAATCGTCTGCCAAAGTCCTCTCCAAAGAAAGAAAAAGAAGTTATTGCAAGAAAACACGGTATAGTAGCATTACTGCTGAAACTGGGACTGTTAGTAATAAATGGATTCTAAGTAAAGAAAGTGAAGGAGAAGAGCCCCTTGGAATAGATTTGGTTTGATTTTTGCAAATCAACGTTGCTAGTAATCAGTCTTTCTACTTTTGTCTTTCTTAAGGAGAAGTCATTAAAATCATGTTTTGGGGGGATGGAGAGATAGCTGGGGAGTATGTAGGGTGGTTTAGAGTTCTTTATGATCTTCCAGAGCACTCATGTAAGGTGGCTCACGGTGACCTGCTACTCCAGCTCCAGGGGATCTAATGCCCTCTTCTGGGCTTCTTGATCACACACATGTGCATGACACACAGAGAGACAACCCATGCACATAAATTTAAAAAAAAAATAGAATTTGCAAAACTAAAAAAAAAAATACGTTTTATGCAGCCTTTTAAAAATGCCCATATGTTCCTGTGTTGAAGCATCCCACAATGTTGTGTTAGTGTACAGCTTTTCTGTTATCATTAGATAAACTTAGTTTTAATAAGAGGTAAAAACCTTCTTATTGCAATTTGATAACATAAATATATAATTACTCCTGGTGTTAAGCACCTAGCTAGCTTTAACAGTTGTACTCTTTACTGCTGCTATTCTATCCATTCCTTCCACTTTCTAGTGTATTTTAAATCGAATCCCAGATATTATTTCACTTTACTTACTCTTTGTATAATTGTGTAGTTTTACTTTTCTTAAACAAAAGTATAATTCTCGCCGGGCGGTGGTGGCGCACGCCTTTAATCCCAGCACTCGGGAGGCAGAGCCAGGCGGATCTCTGTGAGTTCGAGGCCAGCCTGGGCTACCAAGTGAGTTCCAGGAAAGGCGCAAAGCTACACAGAGAAACCCTGTCTCGAAAAACCAAAAAAAAAAAAAAAAAAAAAGTATAATTCTCCTATGAATTAGAGAAATTTTAAAGCATTAATTTTGCAAAAGATTATTAGCATTTGTAGTATAATTGTCTTCAAATCACATAATTGCTAGTTAATCCTTCATGAACAAAGTGTGTGCTCTCATTTAGATGAATATTGCCAATTGAATATGTGTCAACATTATTGAGTGGGGTTAGAACACTTGTCTCTGACTTTCTTGGCAGTATCATGCCAGAGTGACTTTACAGACCTGTGTACAAAGGGCGTGCAGACCACTGAAGACTTTGAGCTGGAAGAGTTTCCCATTACACCACAGACAGTTCTGTGTTACGAAAACAAATGGAATGAAACAGAGTATCTTTCTTCGGTGAGTTCCCCACGATGCCTAGAGCCAAACTCCAGGAAATCTGTTTTTACAAATGTGGTCACAAGTTCCATGCATACTTCCCACCTCTCACTGGTCTGTGTCCTCTGGGGAAGTGTTTCTGTGACCAAATATCTCCTAAGATGCAGCCCAAGAAAGAATCGGCTCTTTCTGGCTGTTGGTTTGAAGGGGATGTCATCCATTATGGTGGGGAGTGTGAGACAGCTGGTCATATTACCTAGTCAGGAAGCAGAGATGAATGTGGATGCTCAGCCAGCTCTCTCCTTTTTCCCTTTCAATCCCCAGCCATTAGGGTATGTCCAGACACATTCATCAGGGGCCTCCTCCTCAGTTTTTTTTTTCCTTTAAGATTTATTTATTTTATGTATATGAGTACTTTATCTGCATGTACACCTTTATGCCAGATCCCACTTATAGATGATTGTGAGCCACCATGTGGTTGCTGGGAATTGAGCTCAGGACCTCTGGAAGGACAGCCAGTGCTCTTAAGCACTGAGCCATCTCTGCAGCATCCTCCTCAGTTCTTAGAGACACACTTGGATGTGTATCTCCTCCTAGACAACTGACTCTAAGCTGACAATGAAGATTGCCCATCTTGGGGGCTAGCAGATAAGTTTATAACATTATAGGATTTAAATGCTATATAATTATTAATTAGAGATTTAGACATAATGTAGACCTGAAAGATTCAGTGTGGCTTTCAATGCCTATGTCCTATAATTCAACACTATCTTAGTTGGCTACCACAGCTGGTTAATAGCCATTTCTGGTTAGGTGGATTAATCAGATTTTGTTATAAAAGTACACAAGCCAAAGCTACTTTTACAGCTTACCTCATCACAATTTTATATAGGTTGTTGGTTTTATTTTCATTATATTGATTGGTTCTGATATATCATAATATTTTTCTTTAAAAATTTAGCTCAATTAAGAAATAATCCCTTTTGAAGCATCTTTCAAAACATGATAACTGGACTTATTAAGTGAAGATTTGATTTAATTTCTAACTTGGTAGTCATGCTTAATGGATGATCCACCATGTTGAAAGACTATTTTCCCCCTTTCTATATGAATTTGCATTTTTGAAATGCATAATAGTACCTGGAATACCAAGAGCAGAACGAGCGTGGAGCAGAGATTCTACTTCCAGCTTTGGAAAAAGAAGAACCGCGCAGTGAAGATCGGGAGGGAGGCTCTGGCAAGCAGGAGGCTTCGGGGAAGCCTGAGAGGGGTAAGAGTTTGTCTAAGCAGTTGGTGAGCTGTAAGTGAGCAGGGAACCGGAAGAGGCGGAGACAGCAGCAGCGGGCGGTACCCTGGAGTCAGAACAATTGAATGGAGTTACAAAGGAAAGAGAAGGAAGGCTGAAGTCGCCGTTGGGGCTCGGGGATTATGAATGAATAAACTCCAGAGAATTTAGATGGAGTGACGTTTAATCACAGAGGGAAACTATTCCTGGAACTAAATGAAGAATTAACCAAGAGAGCCCTTTCTTGTGTTGGCCTTGATCTCTAGGTCATGGAGTAGCTGAAACACAAAAATGAGTGATCTACAAGGCCCTGAATATTCCTAGAATTGTTTTACTTTAATTTGTAAATCTTTAATAGCATTGCTTATAAGTTCAGAGAAAGTTCGCATAGTTTCCATCTGGATAGAATGTGCTAGAGGTGTGGGCACCGGGAGTCCCGGACTAACTTTCGTATCCCATGGGTTCTGTGGTAGTTGTATACAGAGAAATCTTTCGAGTTTGTTTATTTTAAGCTGAAATTCATGGAACAGAAATTTGTGATCCAGTCGAAGTTGTTAGCATGCATATTGCATGGGAATGTTAACATGCTTATTGGATGTGAAATGATACTCATATCACTTTTGGCCAGAGGCTGAGCACGGTGCTTTCACGTGTTAAGCCACAGGATGAAAAATTGTTATGGTCAGTTCATTTTAGGGAACAAGAAAAGGAATAAAATAACAGAAGACCATGGCTTGGTCTCTTAGGCTGTCTCTTCACCCCCTGTTATGGGGTGATCTGATATCAGAATGATATCAGAATGTTTGCCATTTACTGATATTTTATTTTAAATATAAAATATTTATATTTCAATATTTTTAATTCTTTCACTTAAAAAAATGATTTCAAAATTAGAGGAAACTGCCAAGAGTGGGCAAAACAAAACAAAGCCTTTCAAATGAATTCTGCACATCGTGTCTGTGCCCTTTCCCCAGGCACAGACCTTTTCTCACAGTTCTCCATCACAGTTCCCACTCTTCTGGAGCTTTAACTCTGACACACGTAGCTAGTCTGTTGTGCATCTTGTGATTTTGTTGGTAAACACAGGCGTGTTCCTGGAAGCATTTTCTTCTCTCAGAACTTGATCACAAATTGTGTTTAATTCTCACCTCTAAGTCATTTTTACTGTGGAGTATTTTTGTTTATGTTTTTTTTTAGTCTATGCAATTATTATTTTTGATAAGTACATACCTTTTTTAAAAAAAATAGGATGCTCTTCATTTGAGATGTAACTGAGATTCTCTCTTAACTTGAGTGAGTGCTCTTGCTGTTGGAGTTCGGAGTAAGGGATGCTTTCTCAGCCAAGAATTTGTTTAAATTCCTTGTTCTTTCTGTCTCACTGCACACCATGAATTGTACAGCACTACATGGAGAACCTTCCTACTGCTACACTGAAGATCAGAGTGTGGGCTGTGGCTCTTAAGTGTAATCCATGTTAATTACTTTCTAATCCAGACTGTCAAACGTGGAAACAAAATATGATGATGTCCATTCTACCTATCTTCGAATGTCAAATGTAGAGTAAAAGACTTTTTACTGAGTTTTCCTATTTAGAAATACTTACTCTATAAAATTCCTCTTTTTAAATTTCATTTTATACAGAATGGGAAAGAGAAGAACTTGATAAAGTGAAGAGTAAGTCATCTTTGCTAGGAAGAGCAGAGAAGCCAGCACTGGACACTGGAAGGTTCCAGATGGAAACGTCTCAAACTCAGAATGCTGATAAACTCGAAGACGAGGCAGAAAGACTAAAGACAGAAATGCTTCTTGCCAAACTGGATGAAATCAACCAAGAACTCCAGGATCCACAGAACCTCAACCGGCCCCCTTTGCCCTTGCTCCCCAACTTTGAATCAAAACTGCTTTCTCCAGACAGAAGCCCCAAATCATACACATTCTCCGAGTCTTCAGACAGATTTAACGGACATCATTTGTCAGACATGAGTTTTTTAACTCCCAGAGGAGAAGGCCGGAGCCCAGGACCAATTCGAAGCCCGGGCCCTCCAGATGAGTTTGCATTTGGTAGCTATGTGCCTTCGTTTGCAAAAATGTCAGGGAAGTCCAATCCACTGAGCCAAAAAAGTAGCCTTTTAGATTTCCAAAACAACAGTTTGGAAAGCCCGAGGAAAGACAATGTAGATTTCATTTTGAGGAAAGAGAAAAAGGCGAACCTGATGGAGGAGCTGTTCGGCGCCAGCGCCAGCGCCGGCACCGCCACCGTCTCCTCCAAGAGCGGTGGTGACCCAAACTTTCTGGCTGCCAGCAGAGGAGACTTGGACCCTCTTAATTTCCCTTCTGGGGATAAAAGCAGCAGAGTTCGGGAACCTGATGGTGAAGATGAAGACTTTTTCCACAGCGAGGGAAGAAGTTTTAATCCCAACAGGCCGCGGCTGAAACACACAAGCAATAAGCCAACAGTCAAAGCTGCTGACCCTGTTGATGAGGACATTGAAGAGGTCACACTCCGATGACTGACTGGAGCCCGCAGTATATATATGTGTATATATTTTAAATTGTAAATATTAAAGAATTTTAATACAGTATTTATTACAAACATTTTAACTTTTAATGGTAAAATAACCTTATTAGGGAATAATTCTTAGCAGCTTAATGTGGCACAATTCAACAGATAGTGCCGTACCACATAGCCAGGTTGCTAAGAATGCTTTTTTTGTTTTGAAATGACCCAAAAGGAGAGTTGTTGCTTCCTTTTTTCTGTTTTTACAGCTGGTCTCACTCACTGAGCTGGCCCCTGTGGGAAGTTTAACCTCACTAGAGTCTTTATTTCCTACTTTTACCTCTGTTTATTTTTGGTCAGATCTCACTGAGCCTAAGCATTGCCTTCCCACTGATGGTTAGATGGAAATTAAAGGTCTCCGGTGAAGACCCCAGGTAGCAGAGAGTGGTGGGACTTAGGAGCTGTGCCCTTGTCTGAGGTGACAGTCAAACCACTCCTGAGTGTTGGTGGCAACAACATTGGGACTTCCTCTTCCTCTGGAAACACCCCCCCCCCAGGTGTTTGGGGTGTTTACCACGGTATGTAATGAGGTATTACTCCTGAGGGGCAATCGGTACTTCTCAGTTACAGTCCTGGAATTACTCACTGCTGCTCTGCTGGCCACTTAGGTGGGTCACGGGAGACATTTTTTCCCTCTACGGTGCCCCTCTACGTGGCTCCAGGAGGCTTGGGCACAGTGTCATGCCCTCCTTTTGTACACTCTGTATTCTGGTGACCGGTGGAAGATTCCCTACCAAATACAGGAAGTAGAAGAAATGTCAGCTCAACACAGAATGATTTTCAGCTCAATTATGTTTCCAGAGCCCTATTTTTGGAAGTTTTAATACATAATTTTAAGATTTGAACTTGTGCTCAAACCCAGGAGACAGAAGTGTGATACTCTTGAGTTTACAGGACTGATGTTGAAGCAACCGTGGTTAGAAATCTTTAGAATCGGGACACCTCCTGTGCCGAGTAGACTCAATAGCTTTCTGTTGAATGGCACAGTTTCCTTCCACTTAGTTCAAGCCAGATGCAGAGGCATTTGCTAAATAGGACTGGTCCTCTGGACATATCAGCCAAGGAGAAACGCTGTATGTAATGGCGTAACCTGAGCATGTGACCATCTGTTCATGGTGTGGGTCTTACGCTAGCTAGGCGTTCACACTGACTGGGGGCAGGAGTTCCCATGGTATCTGGGGTTCCTCTAAATTCTGATAAGACATTACCTAGTTAGGTCTCTCATTCCCAGCTGCACAGCCTGCCACCTCCTGGATCGGCTTCTTGTCACTTATTGGGAACAGACTCCTTAAAGTGCTAAATAATATTTAAAACTTTTCTCAAAGAAGGTTTTAGATCTTCTGTGATAAGCATTTACTATATTGCAAATCATTGTAATATATGTAAACATGTTATTTGTGATACAGTTCTTGATAAAAACATTATGCAATGTTAATTTTGTTCATGGCTGCAAGTTTTCTACCAAAGTATTCTAATTTTAATGTTTTTAAACTTTTTCAGAAAAATTTTTATTCATTACTTTAATTGGATTTATGCCTTTTTTTCTACCTAGAAGTCTATTTAACCCAATGAGCAAAGAATTATTAAAATTAAAACAAATTAAGTTAAAAGCTTAAAAGCATTATGATGTTTAGTGTTAGAATTGGATATTAAAATGTATGGGACTTAGAGAACAAATCAGTTTTTTCTAAATGTCAAGTTAAATTTATTTGTACTCAGACCTCTTACTAATAAAAATTTTAAACACACTATGACTCTTTATTTGAATGATACTTTATATTTCGGAGATGTCCAGTGGAAGCAGGATCTGGAAGATTTTTACCTCATCCTTCACCTATGTTTTGCTCAGTAGTTTTAGTTGAAGCACAGAAATTGGTACTGACTCAGGATAGACATTGTGGCAGTCTTATCAGATAATTATAGTTCCAATTAATCTTTTCTATCTTAATAGCTATTGTAATGACACGTATTTCACATGGTAATAAAGAGGGGGTACAGGCAGGGGGGATTGATTTGAATTGTAAACACGGGCCTGTTTCCCGGCTGAATCATGTTTGCTGATCATCTTCACTTCATATTCTGAGCTGGTGTCCCTGGCTGCTTGGGACACAGGGAAGGGAAATGTACACCCTGATAATGATGTGAATGCTTTAGAAGTAAGTCACTGTAACTTGGCAACAGAGAATACCTGTAAAACCTTTTCTCTCAGCTTCACAATACATACCCTTCTCACATGAAAGTCTGTTTTTAAAAAAAATCAATTGAAAGTGCTCTTCTCTCATTGAGGGCACCCTGCCTGGATTAGGTGGGTCGAGAGCGTGGCTCCTTGTGTCTGTGGACTATGGCTTCCTCAGCTCCTAATGGTCGTCTGTGGTCCTTATGGTGAGTATAAGTAAGTAAAATCCTGAGGCTGATGCTCTGCCAATGCCCAGCACATTAAAAGCACTTGATAAAGAGCTGCTGTTATCAAAGCTAATTATGAGTTTCATGGAATAATTGAAAAAGTGGAACAAAGATTCAGGGGCTCACAGACACACACACATTGGGCAACACACTGGTCTATGGCTGCATGATACAATTCACACCCCACTTCTGCCACAGTGTATGTCTGGATAAGCTAGGAAACCTCTGCATTTCCTTTGTCTCTGCAAATCTGTGCTGTTGAGTCTACCTTGTGGGACTTGCATATGTTCACCGGGTTGAAACACAAAACCATGCAGTCAGAGGCACTCAAATCTTCCCTGCTTTGTTGTTGTTATGGAAAAGGAATTAAGAAAAGGGGAGGGCATACTTTTTAAATATCAGAGATGGCAGTTACTGCTTTTGTGTTTTTTGGCTTATTTATTCCTCACAGAGCTTTTTCCTAAGTAGCTGGTACTTTATCAATCATTGTCCTTTGTTTTTAGAATTGAGGCAACTATAACACATGTTGCAGCATATTTCAAAGGTAGAATAGTACACTCAATACTTAGAACATAAGATACCAAACCAAACCAAACAAAAAAACAGTTGTGCATCAGTGCATCAGTACTCTACAAAAAGAGTTTACACAAAATAGGCGACTTTCGCTGTCTCATGTTTTCCGCTAGTCTTTCGGTACGAATGTTAAGTTGGTAGCTTCAAGCCTACAGGATCCCCTCAAGCTGACGCTGTCTCCCTAAAATTCCTACAAACTGGCGGACGTGTCACTGGCTCAGGTTATGCTCTGATATGCCCACCCTCTGTGCTGGTTGCCTTGTGCAGGGAGGGGTGGACTCCCCGCTCTTACTCTGGTCAGAAAAGGTCAGGGTTTCTGTGGAATGGGGACGGCATGGTTCCACTGATGGAGGAATTTAAGACTGGCTGCGGGGAGAGAGTTGCTTTTTGTTTTGTTAAGAGTGTGGCCTCTGGTAGGTTGACTCTGATCCAGTGGTTGGCCCAACCCGACACCCATGAGTATGTGGGCCGGAGGTGGTGTTTTTTAAAGACATGAAGTTGGGAGGAAATGGATCTGAGAGGAGCCCTGAGGGGGTGGAAAGGCAAATGTGATCCAAATACACGGTGTGTATTAAATTCTCGAAGAAGAATAAAAAAACACAACTTTTCATTTAAAAATTTTAATTTCTTTCTGACATGTGCCTCTCCATTCGTGAATATAGTCAGCCTGTTCCTAACACAAAATAAAAATTAGAAATAAGTCAAAACAGGATAGAAAAACATTTGACTTTGAGGTCAGGAAATAGGTTAGACTTGAGTGCTTACAAATTGCAGTTTTCATTAAATAATTTGTCTTTAAGTTCCTCGTGTGAAATGGGACTGGTCACATCTTTACGTGCTTATGAGAATCAACTGAAGTGGTGTATTTCTAGGAGAAGAAAATAGTAGGATCAAGCGTATCATAAGAGGGGCGGAGCTGTCAACTCTGTACTTAAGAGATGAATGCTTGGACTGTAGAGATGACTAAAGGGATACAGCAAAAAGGTTGTCTGCCTGTCACCTCTGTGCTCAGGTGGAGAGAAGGGACCTTGGGGCAAGCTAGCTAGAACCAAGTCAAATGGATGAGCTCAGGGTTGGCAAAAGACCTTGCTTCAGTAGTTAGGACAGAGAATGGTCAAGGGAAGACACCCTATGTCAACCTCTGGCTTACACACACACACACACACACACACACACACACACACACACACACACACACACGTTTGCACATGTGGGTGCACAGTAAACATGAATGTATGTACACACTACACTCATACACACACAAAAAAAAATTTACCTCCATCCAGATAATTTTTAAACAGTAGGGATTTGTCAATAAGAACATTTAAAGAGCTAGACATGTTCTTGGCCATCTTCAACTGAAATGACTCTTTCTCGACTCATGCAGAGGCTGCAGTCCTTCACAGAAGGCATGCTGTTTCTGTGAAGAAGCAGTCTGTGGCTGTGAAAGAAGCGAGTTTGCACAGAGCTTTACTTCGCTGCTGTACTCATGGAGAAACCAGGAGCCAAGACTCTGTATGCCCTCAGAGTACAAAGTTTCCAGAGAAAGCCACCCAGACAGCAGTGTTGGGGATCCCCTGAATTCCAGGGCTGAAGAGAACTGTGTGTCTTCACCAATACTTCTTGTGCAGTAGGAATTGATTCTGGCTAGGTACACTTTTCATATAATATAAACAGGACATTGTTAATGTCTGATTTTTATCCTGATATAGAGAATCCAAGTTCATACACAGACAGTCATGGATGCTGCTTTGCCTAGAAATATTCTTTTGTTTGTTTTTCTTTCTTTAGAATTTCTTCTAAAACTCTTAATTAGCTTCATTATGAGCCTCTAATCTATGTGATATGGGTAATATTTACTCTCCTAAGCAGCTGGGACAGGGGGAGGGAGTCTCCTTCAAATAATGAGTACAAACCCACATTTCAGTTAAAGTAAATAATTTCCAAAAGAGATGTAGAATCAATAGACTCAAAAAGCAACCACCTGGAAAACAGTGGTGTTCTGACCAGGACATTTGTGTAGAACAGTAAGGTCCATGAGCCTCAAGTCTCATTTACTGTAGGTACAGTGCATACCTCGTCCTAGGCAGGACATCATTCCTCTGGACAGGACCACTCTTCTTTTGAACAAACTGAGCAGCGTTTAAATAGATCTGCCTTATGCTTCAGGCAGTAATTTTCAAAGGATGCCCTCCCCTGAACTGCTGCCGCATTTGGAAGCTAGGTGAAGATGCCTGTTGATAGATACGTTACAAACACTCTGTGTAGAGACAGCATCAGAGCTCATCTGTGTTATGTGAGCCCTCCAGGGCATCCTGATACAGCTGGAATTTGAGAACCACTTTACAGGGAAAGCAAAGGGGAAAGGGGTGTTCTTTAGTGTACAGGAACGACTAGTGTTTTGTAAACTCAAATCCAGTGCCTGGGGCTTGTAATCCCAGTGTACAGACAGACATGTGGACTCTGCACCTCATACTGCATGTTCCCTAGAAAGAAACTATCTTGAAGTCGTGTGTGTGTATGTGTGTGTGTGTGCACTCGTGTATGTGTGTGTGTGTGTGTGTGTGTGTGTGTGTGTGTGTGTGTGTGTGTGTGTGTGTGTCTGTGTGTGTGTGTCTTAAGGTGATGTTCATGGGTGTAGATAAGGGCACACACATGCTAATCTACTTAGGGTGATGGCCCTGGCTTTTCCACTTCAAACATAGTATCTTTTCTGCAGTTAGCCAGGCTAGCTGGCCTGGTAGCTTCTGGAGATTCCCGTCTCTGTCTCCATGTAGGACTCTGGGACTACAGACACTCGCATTACTGCATGCAGATTTGATGTGGGTTCTGGAGATCCGAACTCAGATCACTTGTATAGCAAGTGCTTTTACCTGCTGCACCACCTCTCCAGCCCAGAGATTATTATGTTTTTATGACTAAAGCTAGCTGTGGTCTGTTACTGTCAGTTTTCTGGCAAGTATGTCAGAAAATTTGAACTAGTTAAAAAAACAAATCAAAGAGAAAAAGATTATATCAATATCAGAACAACTGGGCAGTTCATATGACACTTCTGTTATGTCCTATGATCCCCAGATGTCCAGAAAAGAAATAACTTAAAAATGCATAGTATTCCCTCAAAAAGGGACTAATTAATGGCTTAAGTTTGACATTCTGTGTGAACATACAATTACTTTAGCAATTATTTTAGTCTCTTAAAATTTTAAGATTTTGAAAGTTTAGAAAATGTGTGTGTGTGTGTGTGTGTGTGTGTGTGTGTGTGTGTGTGTGTGTGTTTGGGTATGTGTGTGTGTTTTTAATGATCCAACCAAAAACTTGTGAATGAGGCTTAAGAAATACTAAAATGATCTGAAGGACTAGTCTGCATGCAGGAGGTGGTTTAAGCAAGTGTAAAATAGAGCTAAGTACTTGACTCTTGTGCGTGCCTCAGCACCTGGGGATACGTGTGTCAGTTATGGCCAGTGTCCATCAGGTTTTTATGAGTTAGGATTTTGTTCGCAATGCAAATCTCCACATCTTTCATTGTCTTCCTAGCTTACTACAAAGCCAAACCAACAAACCATTTCATCTTCAACAGACCTGTTTTTGTGAAATTTGTTTACATGGGGTTTGTTATTGTACCAAATATGGAGCTATGTAAAACAAACAAACAAACAAACAAACAAACAAACAAACTACTGACAATGGAGACGAGGTACTTGTGATGGTGGCGATGACTATTCCTGGTGATTCCTGATGTGTCCCACATCGTTTCTCCCAGGCACAGGCTCCA